CTATTTCATGTTCCCTTGGTTCCGCAGGGCCCTGCAGTGTCACAATGGCTCTTTGCTTCCATGACGCCTTGCAGTGCCACAGTGGTTCTCTTGCTTCCATGATGCCCTCTGGTGTCGTAACGGCCCCTTGGTTAGACAAGTCCTTAAGGATCTTAATGGTCTCCATGGCTCCACAAGGCCCCACAGTGTCCTAATGGTCTATGGGTTCCATGAAGCCTTGGTGTGTCCAATGGCCCCTTGGTTCCATTGGGGCCCGGAAGTGCAACAATGATTCCCTTGGCTCCACAAGTTCCCAAAGTGTCACAATGGCCCCTTCCTTCCATGAGGCCCCACAGTGTCACAATGGTCTCCATGATTCCATGGGGCCTTGCAATGCCACAATGCTCTCCATGGATCCACAGTGCCCTGCAGGATCACAACGGCCCTTTGGGTCCACGAGGCCCTGAAATGCAGCAATGGCCTCTTGGTTCCACAAAGCCCTGCTGCTTCACACTGGCTCCTTGGGACCATGTGGCCCAACAAAGCTGTAGTGATGTCCTTGGTTCCACGAAGCCCCACAGTGTTACAGTGGCCCCTTGGATCCATGATACCCTGCAGGGTCACAATGTTCCCCTTGGTTCCACAAGTTCCTACAGTGTAACAGGTTCCACAAGGGCCTGCAGTGTCACCATGGCCCCTTGGTTCCACAATGCTCCACACTGTCACAATGGTCTCCATAGGAAGGAAACAAGTGAACCCCAGTGGTGCAGGAGAAGATGAGAGGCAGTCACCAGAGGCCAAGTCTAGCCAGACTTGACTGTATGGGCAGATTTTGTCGGGGAGTAACCCTTGGATATAGAGAATTTTAGATGCAGAATCCCAAGTTTCGCCATGGGTGACTAGACAAGAAAGACAGTTCTTTCCCATAGGAATAAAAGCACAGAGCCCCAGTGCTTCACGGTCAGATGGGAAGTGGCCCTTGATGTATCAAATTCAGTGGGACCTGTCAGACATCCCCCAGGAGGCCAAACCAGGCAGACCTGTTCCATGTTCCATTGACTTCATGGGTCCCCACACTGTCACAATATTCTCCTTGATTCTATGAGGTCTTGCAATTTCACAATGGCTTCTTGGTTTCATGAGCCCCAACAGAGTCACAAGGGTCCCTTGGCCCCACGCAGCCCCGCTGTGAAAAAATGGCTCCTTGTTTCTATTTTAAATCAATCACAATCAAACCACAGTTTGATCATTGATCCTTGCTTCCATAGGGCCCATGATTTGCACAATGGTGTCCTTGATTCCATGATTCCTGGATTTCACAGTCTGACCATAGTCTCCTTGGACCTCCATTGTCACAACTGACCCATGGTTCCATGAGGTTCTGTAGTGTCACCGTGGTTGGTGTCAGAGGCTGCATGAGATCGATGTCCCGAGACACCTTGGGAAGCTCGGAATGCCCATGTGGGGCCAGGGGTGGGTCAGGCCTTGGTTTGTGGTGGAACAGAGCCCCAGCCCCAGCCCTGGTCTGGCAGAGCTGTCAATCACACAACGGGGGGGGGTGTTACCCTACTCTGATTGGCTGAGCTGTCAATCAATCAATCACACGCTAGGAGCAGCTAGTGCCTACCCTGACTCTGATTGGACAAGCAACTGGCAGTCCCATCCCAGGGGCGGGCCCATTAGGGCCCAGGGGTTTAAAAGCCGGAGCACGAGGCCGCCCCCATGGTCTGGATTCTGCCTTCTCCTGCGGATTATGTGTTGGCGTTGCTGGAAGCTGAGCAGTTGGTACCTATGTGTGTGTCTTTCTATAGATCTTCTGTCTTTCTAATGTTCTCTATTTCTTCTCCTTCTAATCCTACTTACCTGGAACATTTTGGGTAACTAAACATCTTAACAGTTAAAGGCTTTTCGGTTAAATGGGCTAAGTTAGTGAAGTTAATGCTATGATAAGAGTTTTATGTTGCAGTGAATGTTGTATTAAAACCTTTGCCAAAGTTCCTTGATTGTCCACATTTTGCCAGTAAAATTTTGTGTCATTTTGACATCTTAGCTCAGTTGGTTAGAGTATAGTGCTGGTATCACTGAGGCTGTGGGTTCAATCCCTGTGTGGGCAATTCACTTAAGAGCTGGCCTTGATGATCCTTGTGGGTCCCTTCCTACCAAGAATATTCTTTGCAGCTGGCCATGTTGAGAATATCTGGTTGATGTTTCTCCTGTGCACCAAACTCAAGGGAAGGAACCTTTGGTTACCCCCAGCATTTCAGTGTTCTGGGGTGTTCCAGCCCTGCAGACTCACAATGGACTCTTGTTTCCATGAGGCCCCACAGTGTCACACTGGCCCCTTGGTTCCATGGGCCCAACAGTGCCACAATGATCCTCTTGGTTCCACAACTTCCCACAGTATCCCACTGGCCCCTTGGTTCCATGAGGATCTAGAGCGTCACACAGGTTTATGACATTTGTCCTTGCTGCCCCTCACGTCCCAGTGCCCCACAAACAGCCCCGAGCCACCCGTGAGGGAGAGGCCCTGCTGTCCCAGGCTGGGCTCAGGGCGTGGCCTTTCTGCTTCCCCCAGCCAGCCCAGGCCTTGCTCAGCATTGCAGTTCCCTGCTCAGAGCCTGTGGCTCCCTGCAATCCTGGCCTCAAGGATCTGCTCTCAGCAGTCCCTGGGGAGCCTTTGGGAGTCCCTGCCCTGAGTGGGGCCCAGTGATGCTCCAAGGGACTTGGAGTTTTGCTTATGAGTCCTTGAGCAGCTTCCTCAGCCTCCTCTCTGTGCCTGAGGGTCCTGGACTCATCCCTAAATCCACCATGGAGATCATCAAAATACAGAAAGCACTTGGAGGCTCTTTCTCTTCCTTCAATTTCTTCCAAGTGTCCAGGGATTGTGCAGCTGATTGGAGTCAGTTTGGAGTTCTGTTAAGGAAAAAGATTTCAAACTGCACCTCAAGATTTTCTTGTTTACTCAAGGCAATATTTTTTCTTTTTCAGTTAAGAGAAGAGCTGATAGAAGCATTCCCCAGGTGATCTTGATGCTGAATGTCTCCTTAGGAGGTCTGGGCACAGAGAAGAATGAGCCCCTTGAGGGCTGACCCTGTTTGGACAAGCTGCTCCTCACCCCCAGCCTCACCATGTCTGACATTGCCCACCTGGGACTGACATCCCTGTGCCCTGCAGCAGAACCTTGTCCCCTGAGCTCTGCAGCTCCATGCCCCAGCCCATTGCACCATGCCCCACCTGCTCTCCTCAGGGCTCCGCCTGCACACAGGCCCAGGGAAAGTTTTCCTGGTGGGAAGGAAAGAATGGAAAAGCCTGAGCAGGTTTCCTGAACAACAAACCCCACTCAGGAACCACCTGCGCAGTCCAGGCTTCCTGGAATGGTGTCACCTTTCTCCAAGGGACAGTGTGAGCAGAAATGATCTCTGGGAGCAGAATTCTCTGAGTCTTGCAGCTGAATTCTCTGTCTGTGTCCTTTCCCTGGATCTCTGTTGCAGATGGAAGCTGCTGGTGTCATCCTAACCTTTAACCTCTCTCTTGAATGCAAACAGATGTTCCCAGGTATGTTGAGCAGGATTTGCTCAAGGTTTCTACAAAACTTTTGTGTTCCTTATGGAACGAAGGGGCTGTTTTGGCACCAAGGGGGTGACGTGGAAGCAAGGAGTCAATTGTGACCCTGGGGTCCCATGGAACCAAGGGGCCATGGTGACCCAGCGGGGATGAATGGAGCCAATGGTCCATGGTGACACTGCTCATCCAAGAAGGCCATTGTGACACTGCAGAAGCTCATGGAGCGTGGGAGGCCATTGTGACACTGAAGAACTTCATGGCACCAAATATCCATGGTGACACAGCAGGGCATCATGGGAACCTAGGAACCGCTGTTGGCAGTAGGGAAACTCATGGAACCAGGGGCCCTTGTGGTACTGCAGAACCAACAGAGCTGCTGGACCTTGTCCCCTGGCCCTGCACAGCTCCTTGGGAGGCACGGCAGGAGCAGCACCCTGGGAGCCTTGGGAATGCCCCTCTGGGATCCATGGCACACACTGCCAGGGGCTGGAATTGGAGTTCCCAGCCAGGAAAAGATGTTCCTCCCCTGGGAGGCAAAGCTCTTAAGAAGGAGCCAAAAGCCAAGTGCAGCAAGTTCTTAGAGTGACATTTCACTGCCAGCCTTAATTGCTTCACCCATGGTTGTTGTAACTCCTGGAGTGGGAAATAAATCAGGGCAGGGTCTTTGGTGGGAGCTGCCCTGTGTCAAGTGAGACGCTGAGAGAGAAACAGGGCAGGCAGAGAAAGGCAGGAGAGAAAGGAGGGCACAGACACAATCAGCTGTGAAGGTGGCACTCTGAAAACAGAACTGGAACTGATGGAAAAGGAATGGGACAGAAATCAATAGTTCTGAAAGTTTTATTTACTATCAAAATAGATCACATGCACCCAGACCTACACAATCTCAATCCCACGCCCTCAAATTTGGATCCCACTTCTCCCAATCTCCTTCCAATCCATTTCACCCTGGAGATTGTAGAATCAAGTAGATTTGGCATGGGACTGAGTTTTTCTTGGGTGGGAATAAGGCATTTTGACATGGATTGAGCCATTTTGGGGTAAAATGGAGGTGTTTTCAATGGGATTGAATCATTTTGAGGGACATACCAATCTGTCTTGAATTCTGGAGTGCAAGGATATGGAGAACACTTGCTGAAATCCCCCAAGAACCCACAAATCTTCCAGAATATGTCCCAAAAATATAAATTCCTGCTGAAGTAACTGTTAACTGATGGAAATTTAGACATCTTTGATAAATTTCTTTCTTTTTAGTCCTATTTCAGGTAGTTTTAAGTGATAAAGGAAATCAAGAGGAAATTGGGGCCAAACCAAAAGGATAACCAGCCAGGTGTCCTCCCAGCACAGATCACTGAATGTGCGTCAGCAGGGCTTTGCCCAACGTGGATCCTCCCATGGGGGATGAAGCAGGAGTGGTACATGAAACTCTTCCTGCAATTGGAGCATTTCCAGGGCTTCCCTTACTGGTGCCTCTGTTGGTGTTTGGTCAAGTGAGAGCTGTGGGTGAAGCTCTTCCCACACTGGGGACACTCATAGGGCCTCTCCCAGGTGTGGATGCGCCAGTGGTTGACAAGGGTGGAGTTGCGCTTGAAGCCCTTCCCGCAGTCGGGGCAGCGGAAGGGCCTCTCCTCTGTGTGAATCCACTGGTGGCGGAGGAGATGAGAGCTGGTGTGAAACCTCTTCTGACACTGGGGACACTTGTAAGGCCTCTTTCCAGTGTGGATGCACTGGTGGATGATCAGCCTGCACCTCCGACTGAAGTTCATCTCACATTCCCCACATCTGTATGGCCTTTCCCCAGTGTGGATCCTCTGGTGGTGGATCAAGTGGGACTTCTGCCTGAAACTCTTCTCACATTCCCCAAACTCATAGGGCCCATTTCCCAGCGTGGATGCGTTGGTGTCTGACAAGGGCAGAGCTGCAGCTGAAGCCCTTCCCACATTCCCCACACTCCTAGGGCCATTCCCTGGTGTGGATCATCTCATGGCTGATCAGGGTGTTGCTCTGCTTAAGCTCTTCCCGCACTCCAGGCACTTTTAGGGCTTCTCCCTATCATGAAGCTGCTCATGGATCACCAGCTCCGAGATCTGACTGAAGCTCTGTCCACCTTCCTGGTTCAGGGTGGGTCTTTCTCCTCAGAGCACCCTGGGCTGGTTTTGCAGGATCTCCCAGGCTTTTCCTCCCTGTTGGATTCTGGTGCTCTGGAGCTGCTCAAAGTGGCATCTTCCAAGAGTTTCTGCCGTGGGGATTTGTCCTCCCTGGTCTCCATCCTCAGCTCCTTCCCTGGGGGACGAAGGACAAGGAGAGGATGGGATTTGCCTCCATGCCAGAGGGAAGGGGAAGGAGATCCCCCTCCAGTGCATCCCCGGTAGGATGGTGTTGGCAGCGAGGCTGTCCTGCAGCTGGGGGCCGTGCTGTGCTGGGAGATGGAGCAGGAGAGAGGGGGAAAGGGGCACTGACTTCCTCCTCACCTGCCTGAGTGTTCCAGGGCATTGTCTCAGTTTGAAAGACAGATTTCTGCTAAGGAAGGCAGGAGCCTCCCTTGAAATGGAAAGTGTGAACCCCCCCCTCTGAATTATTATAATTTCGAAATTAAGGTGCTTTTAGACAAAGATATGGCAATTGGAATAACAGTTCTTAACTAGGAAAATTAAAAATACAAATGCAATAGTACAAAAAAGAAAACCACTGACAGGGCCAGAATATGACCTGACACTCTGTTGGTCAGGGTGTTGGTAGCAGTCCCATTGAATGGTGGCTGCAGTGCTTTTGCAGTGACAGATGTGGTTCTGTTGGAGAAGGGATCCTGTAAAAGGGTCTAGTTTTCCTCTGAAGGTCCAGTGGCAGTGTAGATGGGCCTGGTCTTCCTGGTCTTGGAATCCAGTGGATAGGAAAGCTGCTCCTCTGGGAATCCAGTAAGAAAAGGCTACCTGTGGGTGATTATATCCAGTTAGGAAGGCTTGGCTCCTCCCTCTGGGAGGAGCCTCTCACAATGGGATGATGTAATTTTATCAGTCATGCAGTGACACTCAGTGGCCCACTCACAGAAGATATCTCCCCAGATGGAGGATTGGTTGTGGAAGAGATAAAGAAAACTGCCCAATTAACAGAAGATAACTGCTCCACAGATAGGAATAGAACACACACTCATTTCCAGTCTAAGACAGTGGCTCAAGGGTTGGTGTCATGGACAGAATTTTGGATTCATTGATCATGGGGCAACTTTTACAGCACCTGGCCTGCTGAAACCTGATGGGCTCCATCTCTCTGTTAAGGACAGAAGGTTTTTAGCTTGTGAACTGGCAGAACTTGTTGAGAGAGCTTTAAACTAGGTTTGAAGGGGGAAGGGGATGCAGCTGGGCTGTCTGGAAGCAGGCCCAAGGGTGGTAAGCCTGAGTTAGAGGTGAAATCAGCAGCCCAGCTGAGGTGCACGTATACCATTGCACGCAGCATGGGTAACAAACAAGAGCTGGAGGCCATGGTCCAACAGCAGAGCTGTGATGTAATTGCCATCAGGGAAACGTGGTGGGATGACTCACATGTCTGGAGTGCTGCACTGGATGGCTACAAGCTCTCCAGGAGAGACAGGAAAGGGAGAAGAGGTAGAAGGGTGGCCCTTTATATTAGTGAGGCTTTGAACACCATAGGTATTGAAACTAATGATGATGAAATTACATGTTTATAGGTAATACTTAAGGGGAAGGCCAACGAGGCTGATATCCTACTGGGAGTCTGTTATCGTCCACCGAACCAGGAAAAAGAGGTGGACAACTCATTCTATTAGCAGCTACAGAATGTTTCAGGTTCATCAGCTCTTGTTCTTGTAGGTGATTTCAACCTGCCAGACATTTGCTGGGAACTCAGTACAGCTGAAAAAAGGCAGTCCAGGAAATTTTTAGAGTTTATGGAGGATAACTTTCTGTCATAGCTGGTGAGTGAGCCCAGCAGGGGAGGGACAGTGTTAGATCTGTTGTTTGTAAATAAAGATGGTCTGGTGGGAGATGTGGTGGTTGGAGGCCGCCTGGGGAACAGTGATCATGAAATTAGAGAGTTCTCAATATTTGGTGAAGTCAAGAGGAACATTAAGAAGACTTTTACATTGGACTTCTATAGGGCAGACTTTGGCCTGTTTAGGAGACTTATTCAGAGAGTTCCTTAAAAACAAAGGAGTTCAGGAAAAGTGGACATGCTACAAAACAAAGATCTTGAGGGCACAGGAACCGACTGTCCCTGTGTGCCAAAAGATGAATCAACAAGGCAAACATCCAGCCTGGATGGGCAAGGAGGTTTTGGAGGAACTCGGGAATAAAAAAAGGATGTATCATCTTTGGAAGGAGGGTCAGATCTCTCAGGAAGTATTTAAGAGGGCTGCTAGAGTATGTAGGAAAAAAATTAGGGTGGCTAAAGCTCAGTTTGAACTTAAAATGGTGACTTTTATAAGGGATAATAAAAAATGTTTTTATAAATATACTACTGGTAAAAGGAAGAGTAAGGCCAGCCTTTGTTCTCTGTTGGATGAGGGAGGGAACTTAGTAACTGCAGATGAGGAGAAGGCAGCGGTGCTTAACACTTTCTTTGTCTCAGTCTTTAGTGGGAAGATGGCTCAGGACAGCTGTCCTCCTCGGCTGGTATATGGGGTCAGGGAGCAGAATGGGCCCCCTGTTATCCAGGAGGAGGCAGTCAGAGAACTGCTGAGCCGCTTGGATATTCATAAATCTATGTGACCAGATGGGATCCACCCCAGAATGATGAGGGAGCTGGCAGATGAACTTGCTAAGCTGCTCTCCATCATTTACCAGCAGTCATGGCTCACTGGGGAGGTTCCAGAGGACTGGAAGCTGCCCAATGTGACACCCATTCACAACAGGAGTGGGAAGGAGGATCCTGGTAATTATAGGCTAGTCAGTCTGACCTCAGTACCCAGTAAGGAAATTGAGTAGTTTATAGTGAGTGTCATCACCCAGCACTTACAGGATGGCGGAGGGTATCAGATCCAGCCAGCAGGGGATAAGGAGGGGAAGGTTGTGTTTGACCAACCTGATCTCCTTTTATGACCAGGTGACCCTCCTGGTGGGTGCAGGAAAGGCTGTGATGTGTCTGTTTGGACTCCAGCAAGGCCTTTGGCACTGTCTCCCACAGCATTCCCTGGAAAAGCTGCAGCCCAAGGCTGGGACAGGAGCACTCTGTGCTGGGCTCAGAACTGGCTGGATGGGCCCAGAGGGTGGTGGTGAGCAGTGCTGCATCCAGCTGGCAGCCAGGCACCAGGGGTGTCCCCAGGGCTCTGTGCTGGAGCCAGCTCTCTTCAATATTTTTATTAATACCACAGATAAGGGGATTGAGCCTTTCATTGGTAAATCTGCAGATGACACCAAGCTGAGAGCATGTGTCCATCTGCTGGAAGATAGGAGGGCTCTGCAGGGAGACCTGGAACGGTTGGATGGATGGGCAGAGTCCAATAAGATGAAGTTTAATCAGTCCAAGTGTCAAGTCCTGCATTTTGGCCACAATAACCCCCTGCAGAGCTATAGGCTGGGGCCTGTGTGGCTGGACAGTGCCCAGGCAGAAAGAGACCTGGGGGTACTGGTCAACAGCAGCTGAACATGAGCCAGCAGTGTGCCCTGGTGGCCAAGAAGGCCAATGGCTCCTGGCCTGGATCAGGAATGGTGTGGCCAGCAGGAACAGGGAGGCCATTCTTCCCTTGCACTTGGAACTGGTGTACCTGGCATTCTTCCCCTGTACTGTATCTTGAGTGCTGTGTCCAGTTCTGGGCCCCCCAATTTGGGAGGGACACTGAGGAGCTGGAGCGTGTCAAGAGAAGAGCAACAAAGCTGGTGAGGGGTCTGGAGCACAAGTCCTGTGAGGAGTGGCTGAGGGAGCTGGGGTTTATTAGCCTGGAGAAAAGGAGACTCAGAGGTGACCTTATCCCTCTCTTCAACTTCCTGAAAGGTGGTTGTAGCCAGGTGGCGGTCGATCTCTTTCTCCAGGTAACAACTGACAGAACCAGAGGACAGAGTTTTAAGTTGTGCCAGAGGAAATTTAGGTTGGATATTAGGAAAAAGTTTTCGACACAAAGGGTGATAAAGTATTACATTGGTTTGCCTGGGGAGATGGTAGAGTCATCATCCCTGAATGTGTTTAAAAAAAGATTGGATGTGGCACTGGGTGCCATGGTCTAGTTGAGTTGGTGTTGGGGCTGGGTTGGACTCGATGATCTTCAAGGTCTCTTCCAACCCAGTAATTCTGTGATTGTGTGACTCAATGATCGCAATGGGTCCCTCCCAGCTCAGCCCCTCCTGCAATTCTCACCCTTTGGCTCAGCCTTTGTGTCCCCTTGAAGTGCTGGCAGAGCTGTTGGGGACAGGGCAGGAGCAAGGCAGCCCCAGCATTGCCGTGTGTGTGACAGCCCCAGCGTTGCCCTGTGTGTAACACCCCAGCAGTGACAGCCCCAGCGTTGCCCTGTGTGTGACACCCCAGCGGTGACAGCCCCAGCATTCCCCGTGTGTGTGTGACACCCCAGCGGTGACAGCCCCAGTGTCCCTGTGTGTGACACCCCAGCAGGGACAGCCCCAGCGTTCCCTCCCTGCAATCGCTCCAGGGGAAGTGTCCAGAGCCACATCCAGTCCATGGAACTGAGCAGCCACTGCCCACCCTGGCCTGGGCTGATGTGGATTCCTCTGCACACAGCTTGGGGAAGTTCCCCTTGGCCACCTGCATGGTGCCACAGACAAGTGTCAGTCACAGTCACAGAGCTCTGCCCAGAGCTGACAGGAAGAGTTCATTAAAAAAGAAACCAAAAAAACCAAAGAAAACTAGCAAAAAACCAAACAAAACCATACAAAAAAAACCAACCCAAAACCATCACATAAACAAACAACAAAAAAAAAAAAAACAAGAAGAAAAAACAACCCAAAATCCAAAAAGCAAACAAACAAACAAAAAAAAAATGGTAGGTCCCAGGACAGATCAAAGTACCAAGGCCTGAACAGGCTGTGGTCAAGACCTGAATAGGCCCTGAGGCAAAGTTCACCTCTAGATGAACCTTCCAACCAAACATTATATTTGTATCCACTCCTTAAGGAAGTATCATTAACGACATGATCAGTGTATGTGTTCCTTGATAAAACATGGATTTATCTTTCTGTATTTAGAAACCAGACCAGGCCCTATCTGGCCTTGTTTGGGGCTGAAGGATCAAAGTCAATTCCCTTGGTTCCTCCTTGAGCCCTGGCCAGGCTTTGGGAGGAACCAATGAGGAGAATGAAACCAGATGTTGCCACAAGTAGCAGTGATGTCAGCTTGTTTGTTTAACAGTGGAAAAGCTGTGTCCTCTCCCAGAGGGCTTGGAGCCTCCTTGCCTGCAAAGATGGAGGCACCTGCAGGAATTCCCAGTATCTGGGAGTGGCTCTGCAGTCCTTGGCTTCCCCAGCTGATGTGTGGGTCTGGGTGATGGTAAAGCCTGAGGGGAACTGCTGATGGATCTTTCTTTAATCACT